GCCTCCCCACTCTCAGCAATTTGGTTGAGCACGAGTTAGCGGGGGCTGAGTAACAAAATTCTGAACAGCAGTCTCGAAGAACTTAGGGCTAAGCAGCCAAGCCTCATTTGGGAGAATCAATAAGTCCTCTTGGCACCATTGGCATGATGAATCTTGTCGAGTCGGGCACTACCGAGGAGCCCCGTTGTGGAGACCCGCAATTCTGGGCTGGAATGTTCGCCGCCGTGATGACATGGCCGATCTTCAATCACCCACAATGGCGATGTGTCTATCGCCCTATTGGCTCAGTCTTCAAGAATGATAAGTAGAATGCAGACTCGTCCGATTTATATCGATGAAAAATCCGCCATCGGTAGCGTTATCTCCACGGAGCTAAATCTCTGCTGCCTAGGGGGAGCACACGTTCCAGCGGGGAATAGTGGAGACTGCCGAGCAAATACACTCGTGGATGCTGACGACTACTAGTCACTAGACGATGCTTTCTACGGGCCAGTGCCGGAATGATTCCAGGAGACCGGTCGATGATTGGGAGCTGATTAGAGTTGCTGAGAAAGAAGGCTTATTTAGATCGATCGCCAGTTTTCCTGGCTCGAGAATTCCCTTCCGAGATGTTGTCGCTTCTGCCGGAGTCTGATGCCCTAAGCTGGGGATTGATGCTCTACGAACTTGTCCTGGACGCTTAAAATTCTCAGACTATGAAGAATCTGTGGTCGGCTCCCGCTTGGCTGGGATGCTTGCTTATTGTCTTTGCGATTGTCCACGTCACGCATGCCATAGACATCGAAGTAAGCAGTGAGCGTATGTTTTCTTTCCTTTGTCAATTCGCTTGAACTGCTTGTTTTGTTCTCGATATTCCCACAAGCAGGTTGCTGATCACTACAAATCCTACAGAATCCATCAAAGATGCCGCCAGCACCGCTGCGTACGGGTTGATGTCCTACTATCATGGCAACGAGTCAGGTCACATACCGGGGAAGCTGGATGATACGTGGTGGGAGGGGGGCGCGATGTTCATGGCTCTCATTCTGTATTACCACTATACCAGTGACAGCACATACAACAAGGAGGTGATTCAAGGAATGCAGTGGCAAGCAGGAGATTGCGATTACATGCCGTCCAACTATAGTAGCTGGCTGGTAAGAAGCTTTGCTCTTCTTCCTCTACAAATCTCGCCCAATCAGCTCAATCTAACAACAACCAGGGAAACGACGATCAGATGTTCTGGGGTCTAGCGGCGATGACGGCGGCGGAGCTCAACTTCCCCAACTCGGACGACGGATACTCGTGGCTGGCGCTGGCGCAGGGAGTCTTCAACACTCAAGTCGCGCGGTGGGATACCACCTCGTGCAATGGTGGGATGCGGTGGCAGATGTGGTCCTACGAAAGCGGGTATACGATGAAGAACACGATCTCGAACGCGGGTTTATTCCAGCTCTCAGCGCGGCTTGCCCGCTACACCAGCAACCAGACGTACTACGAGTGGGCGGAGAAGATCTGGGACTGGTCCGCGTCGACGCCGCTGCTCAGCAACTCGACGTGGAACGTTGCCGATTCCACGGAGACGACCAACGATTGCAGCACCCAGGGCGACAACCAGTGGACGTACAACTACGGGGCTTTCCTGGGGGGCGCGGCATACATGTACAACTACACCAACGGCACCAGCCGCAGCAAGTGGCAGACGGCTGTCAACGGCCTGCTGAATGTGACGTTCGACACCTTCTTCCCGACCAAGTACGGCGGCAACGTCATGTCGGAGATCACCTGCGAGCCCACCGAGGTGTGCAACCGCGACGAGATCATCTTCAAGGGCCTCCTGTCCAACTGGCTCGCCTTCACGGCCATGCTCGTGCCCTCGACCTACAGCCGCATCCTGCCCAAGCTGCAGGGCTCCGCCGAGGGCGCCGCGGCGTCCTGCACCGGCTACTCCAACAGCTCCTGCGGCGTCCGCTGGAACTCCACCTGGGACGGCTGGTCCGGCCTCGAAGAGCAGATGAGCGTTGTCAACGTCTTCGTCGCCTCCCTCCTGCCCTACATCAGCTCCTCCGAGACCCCGCGCACCGCCTCCACCGGCGGCAACAGCACCGGCGACCCCTCCGCCGGCACCTCCGACGATACCAACGACGAGGAGACCCTCAGCACTATTACGACGGGCGACCGCGTCGGCGCCGCCTTTGTGACGGTTATTCTCGTCGCCATGTCGGTGGGGAGTCTGGTGTGGATGATCATGCTGTGACGTGGGAATGCAAGTTGGTGGTAGTGAGCTAGAATGATACCCAGTCTGTAGTGTTTAGTATTGAATTGAAATGTTTTTCAAACCTAGCGTCTCTAGTATGAAGCGTACCAATATCTAAGTGGCTAATGGTTCCCCTCTATAATTTCTATCCGATGATCTGACAACCCTTGCTAGCCTGCCTCTACCCGGAGCATAGAGTAGTTATTCACAGTAGGGCTTGAAATGCTGACTTGCTCAGTTTTCTGAGTCATGTAAAGACGATACAAGACTGCTCAAGCCCTGACAAAGCACATACGACCACAGGGTGTGGAAAAATAGGGCTTCCCGTCCGCTCAGCCGTACTTAAGCCACCTACTGAACGCGGCCGAGGGGATTCTGAGCCTTGTCTCAGTCGCTGCTTTATAGGTGAGCAACGCTAAGACGAAGGGTTGAGTACGTGTGATTTGGGTGATGTTGTGAAGAGTGCGGGTGAGCGGGGTGAGCGGGATAAGCAAAAGGGTGAGCGAATGAGTAACCAAGCGGGTCTTGTTATTTTTTTTTATTGATTCCATATACTTATATTCGGCAGAAGACTTTGAAAGTAATCCTACTCCGAAATAATACGCCTACTAAAGCAAGGATTGCCCTATTCGATGTATACTCTCTAAAGATGGGCGCCCTGCTATGGCGTAGTTTGATCCCAATCTTATACCGCCCCAAGAGGGCTTCCTAGCTATATGTAATCATATAAAAAACACAAAAGTCACTTTTGGCCATACCAAGCATTGAGAGAGAAGGTCGCGAAAAGGGAAATTGCTCATACTTGTCAGAGAGAAGGAAGGTAGGTGCAGGTACTGTGGTATACATAGCAGACCGTCGACTCCGACGGGAAGTATTTTATTCTACCAGCATTTAAGCTTCACCCCAACCCGGCGTTTGATACATAGACGGGGAAAGAAAGTCCACGCCAAAAGCCCATGTTAACAGACACCAATCAGAATACACTTTAAGAGAGATAGACACGCAAATACGCCTCCTCTGCCCAGAATCCAGTCGAACAATCCGACGAGACTGCTGGGTTCCACTCAAGATACTGGGCGAGAATAAATGCCATAGGCAACTTCGACTGTAGCTCAAGAATCACACGCTGAAAGAATGAATTCATTTGGTTCTATGTTCTATCTGTGCTAAGTTGGGGCCCTAAAATAGAGTACAGAGAGAGGGAGAGGGAGAGAGAGAGAATAGAATGTTAAGGGTGAAAAACAGGAGTATGTATATCAAGCCACAGATTATCCATCGCAGTTCGCTGGAATACCGGCTTGTGTCGGGGCAGGGACCGTGACGGCCGACGTAGTGGTAGATGGCGGTGCTAAGGATGATGTGGATTTGTTCTGCGCAGCGGTAGGAACTACCTTGATAGTCGTGCTGCAAGGCTCGGTTTGAGTCCGACACAGTAGTCCTCCTCGAGCCAGACGCTAGATAAGGTAAAGGGCCGGATTTCAGGCCAGAAACTCAGCGGTCGTGATGCCAAAACTTTCTGCAATGGTGTCGCAGGTGTCATCGGCTTGATGGGAAGCCAGAATGTCAGTCTCCAGTCCATAGGCAGGTCTGTACGACCAGAATTACCTTGAGCTTCATACCAGGCGTCGCAGTTAGCGGAGATACCAGCCTGAGTAGGGAAGCTGGGGCTGGTGGCAGTGATGACGGATGAGTTGGCAGCAGGGCTGTTGATAGCGATTGAGCTGCTATACTACCAGCCATCCAGGGATCCACGCCAAGTGCATCGCCAACAAGCAGATCCGCGTTACAGCTGCTGTATTTCAGCGAATGGTCGGCCTCCGTGAAGCAGATGAATGGCAATATGGTTTCCCAGACAAATGGTGGAACAGTTGTAGTTCGTTCTGGCCGTATAGACAAATCAGGTACCACAGTCCAGGGTAGTATTCGGAGCCACCGTCGCCCCCACGGGGGGTTCCGACAGGGGGTGAGAGTACAAGATGATGAGCTTGGGTTGAGTGCGTGACTGATGTATATATGTGCTGCCAAATGGTGAAGAGAGACAGAGGGAAGTACTGGTCTGAATGTTAGAGTAGTGCAGAATGTTAGGGTTAGTATAGTACACAGTCGCCGCTAAAGTCGCCGGAGTTATTACTATAAAGTCGCAGGTGTTATCGTCTTAGATTGTTTAGGTACTTAGTGTTACATAGCTTGGTAATATTAGTAATGCAGACTTTGAGCAACTTTGGCTCTGCTGATCATAATTCATCTTCTGGCCCCAGCCTAGAATCAAAGCTTCGCTTTGTTTCCTCTCAAGCACGCCTCAACCCATCGCTTGCCGAGGGCGGAAGCCCCTCGTTTTCGTATTTCATAACCCATACCCACTAATTCTGATACTCTCAACAATGACAGAACGTCATAGAGAGTCCACTTCTCGTAATGAGTTAGCTGGCAAAGAAAGTCAATACGGAGTCCGATCCATATCGATTCTGGGCGAATGCCAGTGTATGGATACTATACGGGATTTTGCTGAACCGGAAACCCGCCATTTTCAACATGGTCGGTCTAGTAGAGATGAGTATTGACCAGAGATTGCATAACTGTCTATTTCTAATTTTTCAAAAAGCCCTTCCCACCTGCATTTAGCCACCCATGAACCGAAATTCATGCCGAGTATACATCAACCCATGTAAGTACTTGCTTAAATAATGACTTTTAATTCTGATTAGGAGCCTTTCTAAAGTTGTATAATTAGAAAAAGATGTTGTATCTTTGGGTTTTCTCAAGAATGCAACTACCATCATTGCTAATTTAGAGTTCGGCTGATACAATTCGGAGGTGTCGAAAACACAAACTAGAGTGCCAAATCTTATAAGGCCTGGTTGCCGATCCGGCCTCGGTTGCTACAAAGAATAAGTAATATCGTAAAAGTCAAGTGAACAAGAACCATCGAAAGGCCAAACCAAATTACGAGATTGTGGCCAAACAATACTCTCAGCACGACGAATGAAAACAGGCCCACAATAAGATTCTGCTTGACAGCTCTCTTCCAAACAGATGTGTCGACGTCGGAGGAATTCGGCTTGTTGGTCACATCTTCTTCTGTGCAGGGGTTGGTTGGAGTGGTCGTAGATGTGACTTCGCCCGCAGGAATACTGTTGCTGCTGGAGGCGGCGACTTCCGTCACCCGTGAGGGTCCCGCATGCGTCGCCTCGCCCGGGGAATCAAGATCCAGTGTTACCCTGGCTTTGAAACCATTCACGGCAGTGACAGTCGCTTCCCCGATTCTGAATCGAGCATCGGGGACCTCGTGGCCGGCGGGCATGAGAACATAAACATCTCCTTTACGAACGCCTGAAACGTAACCGCTCTGGAGCACTGCAACATCGCCTTGCATCTGCAAGAGCACGGCGCTGGACGCGATCCGCTGAGTCGCGAACAAGAGGCGGGTGTCCGGTCCTTCGGCGACGGGGTGCTGCTGCGGGAACTGGACATGTACGAGCTCATTCACACGTAACAGGGTCGATCTCCAAGATACCTGCCGTTGACCGGCTGCGTCGATCGCAGACGCTAAGGCATCCGTCAGCGCGCCGGTCCACTCGCCGTCGGGGCCTTCACACTCCCAGGCTGTTTCGGTGGCAGCCGCCGCCATGACACGCACAGCGTCAGGGTTCCCCAAGGGATCCAATTCGCGTGCAAAGTGCCCACTCTGCCGGAGCCGTGTTATGTGTTGCCGAAGGTTGCTATACTGCACGTCGGCGATCTGCTTGGGATTTGCTCGTCTGCCATGTCTGGGATGACGAGCCATCCGCCCGGCATGACAGCAGTCTAGGATGATTGTGACATTGTCGGTTTTCTCGGTGGTCTCCAGTAGCAGATGCGACAACTCAATCTCCAAGATGCCCCGGAAGTCATCGTCTGTACTCTCATCGTAGTCAAAGGGTAGGATGAATTGAAGCGGCCGATGGATATCCGTATCTGGTTCGGAGCTCTTCACAAGGCCACCATGGCCGGAGTAGTAGATGGTCACCGCATCGCCAGTCGTGCTTGTGTCGATCAAGTTGCGCCATGCCGTCAGGATCCCGTCACGCGTGGCGTTGGGGCCACAGCATCGAATGATCTGAAAGCTTTGTCTCTCGAGAACACGGGCAATGGTTTCTACATCATTCAAAGGACCCCTCAAACCGTGTATCGGGCTTGCGATCAATAACGCTCGCTTGCTCGAGGACCTTTCCGAAGATGACGCCATATCGCAAAGAAATATTCTCGGTGTATACAGCAGACTGTGAATCAAATCTCTTCTGTGTAAAGCAGAGCTCCCTTACGACATAAATAAGACCTGTATCTCGTTCCAGTTCATTTGACCACTGCTACTTGACGGCCGCGAAGATGATGTCAAATACGATTCGATGTGGCACATGCAGTCCGTGGGAAGTTTCAATTCTACCTCGTAAATAGGATTGTAATCATCTGATCAATATTGGAGGTCTGGCCGCTGTGAGCAGTGCATCAGAAAGAACAAAGACATGCATGAACGTCGACCACGGAAATGATGGAAAATCGACTGGATGGGAATTTAGGGAGGTGCATCACGAAGTGAACCATAGACAGAGAGTATCACCCGGTTGTTGCATAGGTCTAGACCTCGTCGGGCTAGCCACCGCTATGCAGCAATGCAAACGGCACCTGATCAGTGTAAGCCTTCACCTATTCATGGTAGCTCTCTAGCTACGACTGGAATCCTTTCAAGGTAGGTGGAGCAGGTCCCTTGATATCATTGTCAATTTGCCAGTGTTGAGATTGAGGTGGTACAAGGAGCATACATATAAAATCGGAGGCGTTGCAGGTAGTGACTTGGTTGACAGGAAACCTCATCGTAAAAACTAACTTGAATTCAACACTTTTAAGGAACTCCAAATGATCTTCAGAATCAATCTGTCTTTGTGATATCAACCATGAGCCAAGCAGATACCCCTCTTGTGGTGCAGAAGTATCCTGTCTTGCACCAGGTATACGAAGCGCTGGGGCTGGCAACCTTGTACACGCACCATGCCGGTGATTTCCGGGCCGCTCTTCAGATTGTCGAGGCTGAATGTTCAATTTGTGATGCGAAGGACGAAGCCAGGCTCGCTGCAGCCCTCACCGGCCGGGGCATTGTGCGAACTCTGCAAGGAAACTGCGTCGGGGCTCTGGCAGATTTGAGGGCAGCGACTACCATGGAGCACTCCGATCTACCCCTCAAGCTGCTGGCGTGTCTGTATTGGTATCAAGCGACACAAACCCAGTATGCGCTGTTCCCCGACAATGGCCCTGCAGGAGCAAAGGAGATTCAATATCGCTTCGACGCTGTGCAGACGCTTCAAGACTGGCAGGCACAGACAAGTCCCCTCTCCGAGGCGTATTCGACAGACCCACCGCTACGAGTTGTGGACCAGGCTTTGAGGCTCTACCGATCGCTCACCTCCTTTCCACGAGCCAATCCAGGGGCGGATTCTACGTTTCGTACCGCGCAGGATACTTTGCTGTCCGGCATTGATACGGACTACGACACCCTGGCAATCTGGCGTCCAGATCCGAGGATGCTTGGCCATATGCGACTCCTCCGAGCTCGGACTGCATTACGCATCCATGGGCGGGAAGAAGCAATGCAGGATCTTGCGATAGCCGAGCAACTTGCTCGCGAAGTCGACGACTCGGTCGGCTTGGCCGACGTCGAACTCACGCGGGGTGATTTTCTCGCCGCCCCGCTGTCTTCACCTGGCGTTTGGAACTCACTCCTGGCGGAATCAACGTACGATACTTGCCTGCATTGGCAGGCTGATGAGGCCGAATGGGACGTTGACACAGAGAGGATTGGCGAGGCCAAGGCTCGGTACGATGCGGCCCTGACGCGGTTTGCGGCAGCAAATGCGCGGAGAGGAATCGCCGCGGTGAAGATGCGCCTCGGCTGCCTCGAGGTCCTTGAGGGTATGCGACGCGTTGTATTCGAGCCGAGCTTTGCGGCGGCGAAGACGGACATCGAGCGCGCCGTTGCGATCTCGTCTGAGCTCGGCGATATGATGGCCGTACAGCTGGGCCGCGCGCAGTTGGCTCTCTGCGCCATTGGGCAAGGGGACCAGAGCGAGCAAACCCAGCAAGTCGGCGTGTCACTTGGGACCTGGGGTCGTCGAGAAGGAAGCTTTGGGTTTACCCTGGGAGTTGGCCTCTTCTTCGCCCGCATCGGGTGGCGATGGATCAACCATCTCGGCGACTATGAACGCGCCTTGGCTTGTTTCAGGCTTGCAGAAACTCTTTTCCAAGCTCTGCAGGCCTCATTGTCACGGGTGCATTCCATAGTTGATCAGCTGAAGGTCTATCAAATGGTGGGTGATTTCCCCAGCTGCACTAGGACATTGGAGCGGGCTCTGGACGAGTGCCTCGAGGTCCAGAAGCGAGAACCAGGGCTGGTGGCGGAAGTTTCCCGGCTCGCCCGATGGATTTCAATCGAGATGCTGGGTCTTGCTACAAAGAGAGCTGTACCGCACCTCATCGAGCGCGTGCGGGCATACATCAAGAACATCCGAAAGACGCATGAGTCGGCAGACCCGGCAGGCCTGTCGGCGGGCCTTGACATCTTTCAGGAACTGCTCAATCGTTTACAGGCAGGAGAGGACCTTGCCGATTCCAGTTCAGAGCCGTCCGTCGGACACGCTCTCTACCAACAAGATGCTACACAGATGACCGATCTCTTCCTGGAGTCACAATTGGCCGACTCGGAAATTTATCAGGACCTCTATAGCGGCAAGGAGGCGAAAAAGAATGGACATCCAGCGGAAGCCCACGTTTGTTTTGACCGTGTCAGGGTGGTAGCAGAGTCGATGTCAGGGTACCGCCGTCATTACTTCAACGCCCTGGCAGACGCCTACGAGGGAGAATATCAACGGGCGGCACCTGCTTACACGCAGTATGTAGATGGGGAGCTAGAAGAAATGGACCGGATGGCTCGGCTGGGTTTCCCACCCTCTCTCGACGATGATCGACGCAGGCAGGCTGCAAGCCGAGCGCTCAGTTTCTTCTGTGAGATTGGACACTTTGAAGAAGCTCATAAATGGTTGCATCTCCTCTCGCAGAACTGGCCTGACTGGTGGAAGAAGGACGGCCAAAGCTGGCTTTCGCTTGGCCGTATCGCACAAGTGGAAGAAGGGCTGGGACACTTCGAAGCTGCGCTCCTGCAATATGAAGAAGGAATCCGTATGTTTGAGGCTCAACGCCAGCGTCTTTCCATTGATGAACTCAAGATCGCCTTTGCAGCGGACTCGCCGACTAGCGCCTTGTTTGTCGGATGTATCAGGACCTTGCTGAAGCTGCAAGACCAGCCTAATATCAAAGCCTCCCGCCGCCGAGAACTCCAAGCAAAGATCTTTGATGTGGCAGAAAGAAATAAAGCGAGGAGTCTTATGGACCTTATGGAAGGCGGCTTAGTTGGCCGATTGTCGTCCTCCGAATCCGGCCCTTTACCTCGCTGGCGACGACTCAACGCCAAGCGAACAAGCCGTTGTGGCCTGCTGGAACAGGCTCTACACTCTAGCGACCCGGAGCGACCCAGAATTGCGGCCTTGCAAGCGGAGATCACAGCCATCGAGCAGCAGATCGCCGCGGTGGAAAACGACATGGCTGCTACAGGCTCGCCCCTGCGGACCTGGGCTGCGGAGTTGAGTACACTCGACGCTGTTTGTGAAACGCTTCCTGTTGGGGTGTTAGTTCTTGTCTATATCTACGATCGAGAAGACCTGTTTTCATGGGCTATATCCTCTCAGGGAGTTATGGGGCTTCATCACAAATCATTGGAAATATACTGGCTTGATAGGGCCACCAAGCGGTTTCACGAAGCTTGTCAAAGCATGCTGCGCCCGGGAAATCTCGGGCAGGTCCTTTCTGATGAGCTGCTGGAACCATTTCGCGAGTTCCTGGGGCGCTCCAGACGAGTAGTCATTGTTCCTCACGGATCTCTCCATTTTGTTCCATTCCATGCATTGCCCTTCATGAAAGGCGATCCGCTCTCTAGTTCGCATGTCGTGACATACGTTCCGTCAGTCAGTCTGCTGAGGTATCTGGACTCAGGCCAAGCCAGGGGCAGGTCTCCGTCTGTGCTTGCTCTAGGGAACCCCTGCAATATGTCGTTCCAAGATATGTACGGAAGGCACCATCGCGCAGATCCTCTCCCAGGCACCGAGCAGGAAGTATCACGCATTGCGCAGATCCTGCCGAACACCAAATGCTTTATTGGTGCCGAAGCCAACATCTCGAACTTCCGCACGCATATCAGCGACCATTCGATTCTCCATCTTGCGACACATTGTCGAGTCGTCGCAGACGTTCCTCTTCTCTCCTCCATAAGTCTTGCCAATAAGCATGAACTGTCCGTACTAGAACTTGTGGATTTGCACCTCGACGTTGATCTTGTTGTGCTCAGTGCGTGTCAGACTGGACAGGGGGCCTTGACTGCTGGAAACGATGTCGTGGGCTTCAGTCGCGCGCTCCTTGCCGCTGGAGCCCGTGCAGTACTGGTCAGCCTGTGGCCTGTAGACGATGAAGCAACTTGTGAACTGATCTCGCATTTCTACCAAGGAGTCAGCGAGGGTCAATCATTTCCAGATGCCTTGCGTAACGCACAGGAAAAGCTCCGACACGATGTCCCTCTACCCAAGCCCGAATCCAGCGACTCCTGTGGAGCAAGAATTGGAGAAGAACGCGGGAGAATGCCGCGTCCTAGGCGACTCGCGCTACATCGAGATGTGCAGCCATTGGAGAACACGCAACCCTTGAACAATTCGTCGCCCGCTTACTGGGCACCCTTCATGCTGATATGTGGATTAAAACAACATGAGGAGTGCGGGAAAAAGTTCTACCAGGACTTGGAAGGCCTCTCAGACGCGAAGGCCCATAACCTGACCCATTCCCTGTCGTCAAACGCCAAGAGCTCACCTACAAAGAGCGAGCAAAGTCCAGGGACCCCAACCTCGACAGGTAGCATACTTGATCAAGGGGTGTTGGCTTTTCTGGTCGAGCAAAGCTTGCCTGGATGGCCGGTCAAAGCCCCGCCTGTCTTGGGGGGGTTGCAAGAGGCCATCCAGAAATCAAAATTCTTGGCACTGCACGATCGTGAACCCCTGCTGGAATTCCAGCATGATCACGGTCAAGTGACTATACGCATGTGGGACGGTATTCAGATTGCAGCCCAGCAGCTTCCAGACGATGTATCGTCAGCTGCTGCGTTCACGACTATAGTGCGGGCAGCCGAACATCTCGCCCGGGCACAACACCTGCTCGCCCTCCAGAGCGGAAAAGATGACGAGGCGCTGCGACAGAACGTCGAGACCGAAATCGGTATAGTATATCAAGGCGATCGGGGCAGGATCATTCCACAGAACGGTAGCGGCACTCTGGTCGAACACGATCGAATCTACATCCGGCTGACTAACAGGGGTACCAGCACCGTTTATGTAACAGTATTCGGCATCAATAAGGCGGGAATAATCGGATTGCTCTCAGGAGATGATGCAACAGGGATCAAGCTGGAACCTGATCAATCTTATACACTTGGTGGTGGAGGCGAGTTCGAGGCCCTAAAAGGAATGGGCGTGACGTGGCCAGAAGGGGTCCCGAGTTCGCAGCCCGTGGATGAGCAAATCGTGCTAATTCTCACCGATCCTGCTGTGGATCTCAGGCATCTGGCAAATCGTGATCGTTGCCAGAAGGGGAGGCGGGGGCCCCAATCCAACCTGGAGCAGCTGGCAAACTGCATCACGTACGGAGGCACACGTACCATCAAGCCCGAGCCCCGCGCCACCCCCATCCGTTATGATGTGCTTCAGGTTCCGTATTCCCTCTTGCCTTTCACGCAGCAAGATCCTGGGCCTAATGCTGATTATGCCATTCGGGAATGGTCGAGAGAGGAGCCTATGGCCGCCAACGAGATCCCAGAGCCAGAGGCTGACGCCAGCTGGAGGGCCCTTCCGTCCCAACCATCGGTTGTACCTCGGGCATCAAAGGTCAGTCCAGTGGTAGCCAAATGTCCAATGCTTCTTGCCAATCATGGCTGATATCTGAACTCCTTGTGTAGGGAGGTATAGGTGCGCTTGTGCGAGCTGCGAAGGGCATCCCGCCGTGCGTTTGGGTCGTCAACCAGCACTCGGAGGAAATCACCGTGGTCGTGTCCAAGTATCGACCCAACCGTCTGGTCTCTGGAGGAGGGATATCGGCTTCAAGCACTGGCGCCGGCGTCAATATTAGCACAATGGTAAGGGGCGGGCGAAGCCCGAGATGTCTTCACTTGGCCAGGTAACTGATGTCCTCGGGATCACAGACCTTTCTTAGCCCTGTCACCAAAAAGAAGCTTGCGCCGTCAGCTCTCGGCCCCACACGTTCGAAGGCCGTATTTCCCCTTTGGACACGAAAGGAGGGGTTCGGGGTCATCAGCATCTTGAAGGGTCCCAGCGAAAGCCTGTATATCGAGAATGACCGGATTCCGATCGGTGCAACTGCTTATTTCAAAAACCTGCCGGATCTTGAGCTTCGAGATTACTATGGGCAACAACTCAATTAAACGGAACGCGGTTTTTGCAGTCCTCTTAATTGTTTACATGGCTGGAATACTTAGTAGTTTATTTACTTATTCCCTGTCTAGTACATGTAGTATTGTGGATGCAGCGGCAGCTTTAATACTCTGCTATATCGATTACCTAACTTTTCTTTCCTCCCTTTCGGCTAAATCATTTATACATACTAAGTAAGTATCTAATCTTTTTTTGAAAAAATATTCACCTACAGATAGGAGGCTTAAGGCTTCATGTAATATTATAAAAAGAATTAGAAACTACTTTTTAATAATTACTAATGAATCTAAAGCTAAGCTGCGGCTTCTACTTACCCATATAATCATTTCTTAATATATTTAGTAACATATTTTGGCTCTTAAAACCTGTCACGCAGACTCTAGTGTCCAAAAAAAAGTCATACTATTTGTTCTTATCTTTCATAGTATTTTTGCCACTGTTCCTGGAAGACTATGATCCCTTTAGATTTCTAAGGTTCTTGTCTTACAACCCTATACGCTGGTTTTCTTGCCCTCATTTCTGTATAGGATACCTACCGCCTGAGTTGCCTATCTATCAGAGCTTATCATGTCTTCGAGCTGGTTCTGCGCCCGTCAGTCGAACTGCCATCCACTCGTTATAACGATCCTTTGTTACTTGGTAGCCGCGATATATCAATCTTGTACACCCTCCTAGTCGACTTTCTTATACGAATATCGGTATATCCCCTTGGTACGATCATCAGCAGGTATAGCTCTCTCCCCATAGACTTTCGCTGTAAACGGATTTCATCGCCCCTTTGGATCAAGTGAAAATCACATTACAAACCGATATACCGGAAATCATACCACAATGTCTGATTCCAAGTCACGTGTCTATGACTTACACTGCAATAAGCAAACCGTGATCCATGCATTGAATTGTTATGTAGGTCTTACTATGCTAAACACATTTGCTCCACCACAAAGAAGGCTTTGTGAGTTGCCCTTGTTTGGAAACACCGCCAACCACTCAGTGAACTGCATTCTACTCGGCTCAAGATTTATTTGAAGACTAGTACATTTACAATACGACACTTCCCATATATCCACATTCCCCCTTTATTCTTAGGGCTAGTAGCAATACTTGTTGTTTAGGGTCCTCACACATACTTGACCAGACAGTCTCGGTGATAACTGACCAAGACCTGTATCAATCTATCTCAGAGAACCGGGTAGTGCGACAGTGAACACGTACTAAACAACCCAACAACTAAGCTTTGCTGTATGGTTTGTAGTGTAATGCCAAAGAAAGCATCAAACCTGGGGCTATAGTACTTCTCAACCAAAGATCCAGCACATACGACCACAGGGTGTGGAAAACAGGGCTTCCCGTCCGCTCAGCCGTACTTAAGCCACACGCCGGGAGGTTAGTAGTTGGGTGGGTGACCACCAGCGAATCCCTTCTGTTGTATGTTTTGTCTTTTTGGGTTGTGCGGCATATTCTCACCGGTGACCAGCTAAATCATGGCTGCTCGCTATGCCTGACCACAGACTCAACTTTGATGATGATGGTTTCGAGGTCTTTGTAAAGTAAAGTACATGACGGAAACGGCGAAATGGTTACACCGATGAAGGTGGGGCACCTCCAATTACGCCTCTATCTACTCTGTGGATTCCGCGGAATTCTACCATCACCCCCCGATCTGCATCGATCAGCGTGACCATGAGCTGGCTCAAACGCCATCCCCTGCCATCCCCAGGCCCTGCTGCGCCGGCCGGGGTAAACAGTGACGACCCAACCGACGAACCCAGAGACTGCTCCGGCTCCGACACCGCGTCCACGGACAGCCACGGATGCGCGTCCAACGGCGGCTATGGCACGGACGATACCCTCGCCGTGACTCGCGTGCTGGAGCAGCATGGGATCCCGTGCTGTCTGGTGGGGGTCGCGGCGCTCGTGTTCTACGGCGCCGGCCGCGTCCGCGAGGTAAGTTCGGTGCGTCGCTCCGGACCTCGCTCTACGGAGTATGTACTGTACCCTGGCACGTATCCCTTTCTTAAGCTCTCGCAGGACTGGGAGATCTGCGTCCCCACCGAGCGCGTAGCCCAGGCCGCAGAGCTCCTGCAGTCACCCCCGTACGCAGCGCAGTATCGCCCCGTCACCCCGTGGCCCTATTACAGTCCCTGCTCGCTGATCCACACCTACCCCCGGTTCAAAAGCCGCGGGATCAACCATTACTTCTTCCTGGTGCCGGCCGTCGACGTGCATATGGTCTGCGACCCGTCCAGCTTCACGCGCAGTCTTAGAGGGTTGCCGTATCCCCGGCTGGAGGTCTTGCTCCAGAGCTGTTTAGATACCTGGGACATGCTCCAGCTGTGCGAGGTGGTTGACGGGACCAACGTGTCCGAGGAGTGGGGCGAGAAGAACCTAAACCTGGAGGGGACGAACGATGTCGCATGGGCCCAAGAAAAGAACAAGAGAGGAGAGGAGTTTGGCGGAAAGTGGGCGCATTCTCTGTTTGCCTGGGAGGGACGGAAAGACAAGCGGGAGATGTGGCGGTCGGTGGTGCGCACGAAGAATGACAGGTTGGACTGGACGAAACCCACGGATGTCTTTGTCACGCAGTATCGTGTTATAGGGTCGCAGGATCCCTGGACTGAGCTGTCTGATATATCTTGATGATGGGCTCGGGCTCTGGCGCGGTCCTCGGTCGGTCTGTTGTGTCAATCGCTCTATCTGAAACTGATGGAGGTGCCGGTGGAGCTAAACCTGGGCCGGGGTCGCTGAGTGCCGGAGTGGTGATCGGCATATCCAAGGCTCGGCACTGACTCGGTCTTTGAGGCGGAGATACCCCGCTAGACTTGAGATGCAGATGGATGGTAGCCAGGTAGAGGGGTGGGAAACTAGCTGAGGGCTCCCCGTCCCGCTCAACTGTGCTCAACTTGTATGGGAGACCTCGCTGAGTGCCGAGAACCAGGTCTTGACAGGCCTACTACTTCTGATTCAGGTACAGTGCAAGACAGTACACCTTAAGTCCTCGGAGTGAGATTTGGAGTCAGACATGGTCCAATACTGTCATTTCCCGTCACAGAATTCGCTTTGATTACTTCAAGTTGTCACTTCAATTCACTCTATCACGCTATGACTGTCCATTACATCTGGGTGCTTTTCACCCCTGTTCAGATCCGGGAACAACGGCCAACTACTGTGACTCCTGAGAGCGGACTCTTTGGTTCCGACGTCGGCGGAGGGCAGGCGTATCTGTCTATACCCAGAAACGGTCTGGGGGAATCTGGATTGAGCTCCGTGTGGAAAAACTAGGAAGTGTTTTGCTGGAAGCCACTGGAAAGTGACTACGATAGCGCCGAGCTTTTATTTTGGTGACTGAAGCACGGACAGAATGCTTAGGAAGTCCTCTTGCGGCGTTCTGCTAAGGTGTAACAGGCACCGGCCGCCTTTTACTCACGGCTTAGGCAAAACAAAGGGGGAGAGAATAAAAACAAGAAGGATGACGAGTCAGGGTGTACAGTATTGCAGAGGTTCCCCCGCGCTCTCTATCATGCTTCTACAGCCCATCGAGCCATAAGGCCACCTACAGACACCAGGGATGAACATTTCCATCTTCATTCTGATCGCTATGATTACCATTGACCACACTATCCCTATCCCCAAGCCCAGCACCTACGCACCCACCTGCAGCAAACCCTGCGCAATCAACTCCGCCAGCAAAGTGACCGTCGTGTTCCTCTGCAACAGCACCACAAAAGGCACATCGACCTCAAAGGTGCGGAACACAAACGTCCGAAACTCGGCCGCCAGCATCGAGTCCAACCCGAAATCACCAAGGGGCCGATCCGGATCCAATTCCGTCTCCGGGAGGAGGATGAGGTTGGAGATCTTCTTCGACACCACAGCGCACAGGGCAGGGAGAAGGGCCGCGGGATCTTGCTTGCCGCGGAGCAGCAGCACCGCGCGCGCGATGTCTGCGGGGAGATGCTGCGTCGCGGTGGTGGTGCTGTGCTGTGTCTCGGCCGCGGCGCGGCGGCGGTCAAAGGATGCGGTGAACAGTGCCGCGCGAGGATCGGCGAAGACGTGGTTGTCGCCCTCGAAGCCGCGGTCGCGCTGCTCGTGCAGACCGATGAACTCGACGCCAGTGAGGAGGTGGCTACCTGCCAGATGGTCGTAGCGGGCGTCCCACGTGCACGGCCCCTGATTCCCGAGCGCCAGGTTCATGATCTGGAGGAGCTCGTCTTCGTTGATGGGGTGAATGCCCTTACGCTTCATGAGGGCTTCGATGTCCGGGTGTTCGTGCAGGTACCCGACTTCCGAGATCATGCCGTAGCCGATCGAGATGGCCGGGAGCCCGAGGCGGTTGCGGTACCGCGCGAACGCGTCCAGGAAGGCGTTGGCCGCGCAGTAGTTGCTTTCGGTCGCCGTGCCCACCGTGCCGGAGATGGAGGAAGTCATGACGAAGAAGTCCAGCTCGGAGGGGGGCTGGTTTGACAGCGCACGGTGCAGATTCCAGGTGCCCCGCACTTTGGGCCCCAGGGTCGTATGCCATGCGCGGTGCGACATTTCGCTCCAGAGAGCCTCGCTGAGCGCCATGGCGGCCTGGATGACGCCCCCGATGGGACAATCCGCCGCCGCGGCGACGGCGCGTTCCACATCCTCGTACTGGCACACATCGCCCCGGATCACGGTGACGTGGGCGCCTTGGGCCTGGAGATCGTCGACCATGTCCTGTGCCTCGGCCTTATCGGTGCCGGATCGACCCATGAAGATGAACCGGCGGGCCCCGCTCGATATCATCCACTTGGACAGACTGCGGCCGAGCCCGCCCAGGCACCCGATCATGAGGTAGCACTTGTGAGCACTGAAGGTTGTTTCGTATTTAGTCGGAATCACCCTGATCTTGGTGTTCGGGTCCTGGAACGATACGGTCACCTTGCCCAGTCGCGTGCCCAGCGAGAAGTGCCTGAACGCATCGGTGATATCCGACGCATCGAAGGTCTTGATTGGGAAGCAAGGCTCGCAGATCTTGGATCGTATTAGATCCAGACTCTCCGTCAAGAGGGCTTTCCAGAGTTGATGATGGGTGAGCTTGGTGGAGAGATAGAGGTTGGACAGGTCGAAGGCCATGAAGGAGACGTTGCGGCCGAACGTGGACATGTCCAGGACCCCATGGTCGAGGATGTCACGTTTCCCGATTTCGACGAAGCGGCCAAAGTCGGCACAGGCTTCGAAGCTGCTGCGCAGGAGATCCCCGGTGAGAGAGTTCAAGACCACGTCCACTCCCTGTCCAGACGTCGCTTCCATGATGGCAGGTAGGAAGGAGGAATTCCGCGAGCTGAAAATATGCGAGGGGTCCAGACCGTACTTCTCAACCAGAAATGACTTCTTAGACTCATTCCCGACAGTGGCGAAAATCTGTCGCGTGAGTCAGTGCTATCCCAAATCAATTACAGCTGAGCCTCTAGCAATCTTACCTTTGCTCCGAGATGCTTCGCATATTGGATAGCCGCAAGCCCAACTCCTCCGGCAGCGGAATGAATGAGAACAGTCTTAGACCGAGTAAGCCCCAGATCATGCGAGTGATTATCTTATAAAACTTACCTCCCCTGGCTGCAGACTTGCCCGGTACTTCAGTGCATAAATGACCGTTGAGAAAACAATTGGAATAGTGGAGGTCGTCTGCGCATGATGCATGAGCCTTCTGCTTGTGTAATTGAAGGAATGCGGAATGCGAAACACTTTACGTACCGTGAAATCCTCCTCGTCGCGCAATTTCGACACCGCCCAGTGTGGAAAGCGCTCGACGGTTGCAAAATGGCCGGGGGCCATTGCAACGACACGATCCCCGGCCTTGAACTCGGAAACATTGTCGCCCACCGCGGTCACAACACCGGCACATTCGCACGAGCATGATGCATCCTTGGTGTCCACCTTGGCACTAATAGCGTACAGATCCTATGTTTCTCGTTACCGACCCCTCTTTTAAAAAGTCTTTATAAGAGCGGTACCTACCTTGGCATTCATACCGACGCTTCGCACGCTGATTTCCACATCGTCCGGCTGCAAGGCCGTTGGATGATGCTCCTCCTGCACAAAGTGGATCGTGTCCATCTGCCCCGGGTCCTTGATACCCAATTTGCAACGTCGAGCAGTTGCGAGAGGGAGATCAAGGGTTTCCCTGTTCTGTTTGAGACGGAAGGTCTCGTTAAGACGCTCGTCTGGCTCCCAGCGAGAAAGATGGAGGACGCCGTCCCGTTGCGAGAATTCGAAGTCCGGCTCCGGGTCGTGGACCAGTTGGTCCAATACATGAACAATGTTCCGCAGAGTGTCAGCGGCAGCAGCAGCAGCAGCAGCAGATGAGGCTGATGAACTCTCACCCTCCACGTCGAAAACCGCGAATTGGAGTGAAGGCTGTTCGAGCATTAGCGCGCGGGAAAGTCCCAGAACGGGCGCAAAGTCGGGCTTCTCTCCCCCAATGAAGCCGCCGTTGACAATCCATACGATCTTCGCTACGCGATCGGTTATACTCTGGAGCTGTGCCAATTCATGCTCGTTGATCGTGGTCAGCAGAGGCTGCTGCTGCTCTAAGGTGGATACAACGAAGGATCGGTCCGGCACGGTCGCGGGGCTGACCTGGGACAAGCCAACGATGTTGACGACGGATCTGAAATGTCCTTGTAGGGTCTTTTGAAGCTGTAGATCCAGGGGTGTAGTCTTGTCATCTCGGGTCACCTGTACGTTTGTTAGAAATCGGACGTGTTTTGGCGGCAGTCGAAAAAGAACTTACCACGATTATTGGGGATTTATCCGCCTTTGCCTTCCTCGCAAGGCCGCTTGTGGTCGTGACTGTCACAAGAGAGGGAGCATTTCCTTTGATGACATTTGTCCAAGCGAAATCGTCACTGGGTGGTGCATCCCCTACCACGATGACAGTTGCTCCCGGTGTGAGCCTACTGCAAAGGGCCGGCGTCCAACAATCAACCTATCGCCTATCAGTATCAAGTCAAACTCGCAACGCAGTAGTTAAACTAACAGAGGGGACAAGGATTATATCAAACTTCTTGTCCTGGGGGATCCTCGCTGGACACACCGAGTTCTGCTCCTCTGCAGTTACTGAAAAAACCTCCTCACCAACCAGATCGCCGTCTGCAAGGAACCCACGATAGTAGGTGTTATACCTTCCGAAAGAGGAGTCAACACGTAGAAGCCCACGGACAGCTTCCGCTATTTGGCTTTGATTGCCGAGTTCGAAGATGTTGCTGTTACACCGCTGGTGACAGGCCAAATCCAGTGCACCGGCCAGGCGCAGCACGCTCTCATCAGCCGATTCTCGAGACCTGCAGCTCTGTACGAATCGGTTCAGGTACTCGTCAAGGCCCCGGCTGGTTAGCGCAGAGAGCGCGGGCTTCCACGCGGCTCGCACGAGAGGATTGCGTTGCTCAGGCGTTTCCGTATGTTTGTTCCCTTGGTACGCAATACAACGAGCTTGGCTCATTCTGACCAAGACTTGGCCAGACGAGTTGAACAGCTCTGCATCGATCTTCACCGTGCCAAATCCCACACTCTCCGCCTTGGTGTCAATGCACCACGGTCGGTCGGTATCCATGTCGAGGGCCGACGGGGGCGCTATGTAGACCGAATCCATCGCAACGGGGACCGTCGCTCGTAGCTTACTTACCCAGCCGGCAGTGGTTGCAACGAAGGCCGTCTGCAGCATTGCATCGATGGAGATTGGATGTGCGATGTATCGACCGAAGGGTTCACCACGCTGAAGATGTGTGGTGGCCGCCGCTACGTGCGCCGCGCGCGCACGGTCGCGGAAGACCTCCTCCATGACCGCGAACCGGGGACCCCAGTTGAGCCCTTCTCGGGTGAACTTGTCGTACCAAACACGGACCGCATCTTGCTGCATGGTTGATCTATCGAGCTTGATGGTTCGACTAATCCGCGGCGAGGTTGTTTCTGCTAGGCGCACGGCCGCGTTCATATGCATGGTCGCCTGGGAATCACTGTCAATCGAGAGCACACGAAATTTCCACCATTTGTCGGAGCTCGTCAGGCTGGAAATGCTCATCGATTGCATCTCGGTGAAGATCTCCACGGTTGACTTTCTCCCCGCGTCCATGTCAAGAGCCTTGATGAAGTTGAGATCGCGAAGCTCCACTCCAGGACAATCTTCCAGCTGCAGACCTGCAACCTGGCACATCGCCTCCACTGCCATTGCGATATATGCCGCGGCAGGAAAGACCACCGACGGGCCCAGACAGTGATGCGTGAGCCATTCAATCTCATTGAGATTCAATAAATTTCGCCACGTCACTCCTGCGGTGCTCCCTCCCAACACTTGGGATCCGAGAAGATCGTGCCGTGGATATTTGCGGTGGCGGAACTCGGTACTGGCGCGAGGCTCGGCCCACAGAGTGGGAGCGCTATAGTCCCAAGGGTAAGAAGGCAAATCTACTACGACATGCGGCTGGGATCCATCCGAAAGCATCTTATGGTATCGAAGCTCATCGTGTCCATGCAAAAACAGCGAGCCGGCCAGCTGAAGGATAGTCAACGAGGCGTCTTGGTGACGAATCAGAGCGGAGTCATAGATAAAGCGACATTGCTCGAGGGTGGAGGCAGTCTGCTTGATGGGGAGTTGCAGCGCCGAGTGCGGCCCCAATTCTACCAGATGATAACTGGTCTGCGCCAGGATCTTTTTGATGGCTTCAGCAAATCGCACCGGAGATTCGAGATTTGTACGCCAGTATGTGGGCATCCCGACTTGACTTGTGGTGACCAGCCCACCAGTCACGGTAGAAATCATGACCACTGATGTCGCCGGACCATCGACGTCTTCGAAAACGAGGCCATCAATGGGGGGGCCATCGGCCTTATCCCAATAGCGCTGGAGCAAGGCCTCATATATCGGGCCCAGAACCTTCATATGGTGCGAATGATATGCTTTGCCCCCAGTCTTTAACTTTCGAGCCCAGATGCCTCTCTCCTGGAACACCTTGAGCAGAGAATCGACGGCCGCTGTGTCACCACTCACGGTGATGCTCTCCGGCGAGTTCGCACATGCGACAGTCACAGAGTCCCCCAACGCACATTCCTCGATGATCGCCGCGGCCTGATCTTTCCCAAGTCCCACGGCAGCCATGGAGCCCTGGGTGGAGTCGTCAGCGACAGCAGCTCCGCGGAAATACGATGCAAGGATTGCTTGCCGGGCATCGATCGCTCCGGCCGCATACGCCGCTCCTATCTCGCCGGAGGAGTGGCCCACCACCATCTCTGGCAGGGCACCCCAGTCTTTGAGGAGATTCGTTAACGCAATTTGCACTGCCGTGCAGAGGGGCTGTGATATGTTCGCGGCGCTTGTGTCATAGGTCTGATAATCACCGCGCAGCAGACCCTCCAGCGTCCAGGCAGGCGCATCTGGAGGTTCCAGGGCTTGGAGGCACGAGTCAAGATAACTGATAGTCTTCCTAAACACGGTTTTCTGTCTCAGGAGCTCCTTGCCCATCCCAGTCCATTGTGCGCCCTGTCCGGTGTAAACGAAGACTAACGGCAGGGATGCCCCTTCGCTGGCCGACTCTCGTACTTTCAGATTCGCCACATTGACTCCCTTGCTTAGACTCGCTTGAGATTCGATGAGATAGCCACGAGCAGCCATTCTGGAGCGACGACAGCTCAATGTGAAAGCCAGATCATTGATTTGAACAGGATGGCTCGACTTAGCAGCAGCGAATTCAGCCAAGTTACTAGCCATCTGTCGAAGGGAGGTCTCAGACCGAGCCGAGAGAGCTAACAGATAGAGCCCGTCCTCGGCATTTCCGTCTACTAACGAATGCCCACCGGCGCTGGCCAGTTGATCTGTCGGCACTGCTTCCAGAATCGCATGGCTGTTGGAACCTCCAAAGCCAAACGAATTGACCGAGGCTCGCGGGACGCGGGATACCGGCCACACTTGGTTGGTAGTTACAATATCCACGTTCCATTCCTTTGCTCGGATGCTGGGGTTAATGGCCTTCACCCCGACCGTTGCAGGGAGTAACTTATTCTCGAGCGCGAGAGTGACTTTGATCAGGCTCGAAAGCCCGCTCGCCCCTTCGCTGTGACCCAGATTCGGCTTGATGCCCCCAACGAGGGTAGGCCGCCCCGTGTGATGATCAAACACCCCGGATATGGCCTCAACCTCAATAGGATCACCGACCTTGGTGCCGGTCCCATGTGCCTATCCGCGATGAGTAATTTAACACGCCCCGCACTCAGAAGTTTAAGCTTACCTCGACGTAGTCCGTGTCTCCTGGATCCAGACCTGCCCGGCGATACGCTGCCCGAATGACGGCCTTTTGTCCTTCCACACTGGGCTGGACGATGCCTGGTGTTCGACCATTCCTAGATTGGGGATGATTAGATATTGTGGGCGGCCGACAATGCGATTGGGAACTTACCCGTTGACCGAGGTTCCCCGAATGATCGAGCGAATGGGGTCCCCGTCTCTGAGGGCATCACCGAGCCGCTTCAGATAGACGGCCGACACCCCCTCCGCTCGACCGTAGCCGTTGGCCGATTCATCAAAGGTATGGCACATGGAGTCTGGCGACAGGATGCCCGCTTTCACGGCGACCATCTGCTGCTCCGGCGACTGAATGAGGTTTGCGGCCGCCACCACAGCCGCGTCACAGTCGCGGGCCTCGAGGGCCAGACACGCCGAATGCAGGGCATACAGGGAGGACGAGCACGCCGTGTCCACCACATGCGAGGGGCCCCGCAGGTCGAAGCAGTGGGTGATCCGATTTGCCAGCACGGTCAGGCCCGACCCGGTGGCACTGTACCGGGAGAAGTACTCGGGGTCTTTGTACTGCATATTCAAGAAGTCGTTGGTGAAGTTGCCCACATACACGCCGGTATTGGAGCCCTGGACCCGCTCCAACGGCACGCCGGCGTTCTCCAGCGCCTCGTAGGTCACCTCGAGGAGCTTCCGCTGCTGGGCGTCCATGGACGTCGCTTCGAGGTTGTTGATGCCGAAGAAGGCATTTTCGAACGCGCGGATGTCTTCCCGGATGAAGTACCCCCCCGTTGAATTGATGCTCCCTGGCCGTTCGGCGTCCGGGTGGTAATACGCCGCTGCATTGTAGCGCTCCGGTGGGACGGGGCCGTGGCCCGTCTCGTTCCGGACGAGCAGGTCCCATAATTTGGATGGTGAGGACGCTTGTCCTGGTAATCGGCATCCTGAGGTGCAAGGTAGTCACGGGTCAGTATACACCGATACACTGGTTATCAGGGTAGCTGATGTTCCTACCTATTCCCACGATGGCGACGGGTTCACATTGGCGCGCAGGAGTCAATTCTGGGTGCTCCATTGTGAAACCTGATGGTTGCTAGGTACTGTCCAATTACCTCTAGTATGTGGTAAAGAAAAAAAGGCAAAAGGCCGAGGGGACGTGCGCAACGCTTCCTTTGCAGTCTAATCGATCCTTTGATCGAGACGCGCGGCGGCGGGGGGAGGGGTATCTATGTGATGTGCCATCGAACCCACTGTCGTTCAAACAGCCATGATTCGTGAATATGGGGCCACCATCGTGAGCCAAGCCAAGATAGGGGGCCGAATTGTGGCAATATAGCAAACTCGGGGAGGGGAAAAGGAGAGGGAGGAGAGAGGAAGTGTGGATGAGGATGGTTTGCCAGCGGCACGAGTAGGATTGTCTTCCGAAGTGGTAGTAACTAAGTACGGTACGGTACGGTACGGTACCTTAGCCCTAGCCGGGGTCCCGCCTTCCCGTCGCGGGTGGCGGAGCAAGGGTTTCGGATATGTGGTCTCCAGGCTGAGTCTAATCTAAACCGTGCTGGGCGTTCTGCCGGCACATTTGAATGTGATGGGTGAGTGGGTCTTGACTAAGTACAATACAGTACTTCCTTGACAGGGACTTGCTCGAGCCGAGGTTACTGTCTGTATCTACTGTGAGGGTCTAGAATCTAGGCATCGTATCATGCCTAGTGTGAGGGGGTTCATTCAGACTTACTAAGACTAGTCTAGATTTACTTCCTTCCTCCTTCACTCCTAAAGTGTCCCAGATGGATGTGTAGTATCTTTGGATATAAATTCCACGTTCATATATATTTCGAAATGAACATTCTAAGTCAGCTGTTAATTAGAGATAATCTGCAGATGCTGGAAGTACGTTATGGCCAAAGTACTACAGTACATTCAACAATACCCTTCCCTCTTCTCATATACGTGGTAGTGTAATGATTTCTTTCCGCCCCCAATGTTAGATAGACTAAATCCTGCAGCCATGGCACTAATCCTGCAGAGCCTCGCACGATACCCCCCCTAACATGGGTGATCTAATTAATCAGGGAGTAGTAGTCTCGGAACAGGATGGGCATGATCAGGCTAGTTTTTGATCAGCCTCCCCCTCTCCTTTGCTTGGGTTTATGAGCTCCCTTCCAATCCTTCCAATCCGAGAGGGAGAGAGAGGGAGAGACAACATACGATGTCTTCTGCAGACACCGATGGCAACCAGCAACCGGGGCTCATTGCCTTTTGTGTGGTAATGCTCACAGTAGCTGTAGCCTCGGTCGCTCTCCGCTGCTGGTCCATCTGGAGCTCCCATACTCACCGGTTTGGCTACGATGATGCCTTTGCCATCTTAACTTTGGTGCGGGCCATCCCCCCCCCCCCCTTCTTTTCCACGAAAGAAGGATTAAGCATACCAACTCATTGACTAACACACACGTTGAATGTTGCCAGCCCTTCATTATCGCCGAATCGTCGCTTATCTTCTACTGGATCTCCCTGGGGTTGGGTCGTCACATCGCCACCTTACCCGTCAGCCATCAACTCGCGGGCCCCAAGATCATCTTCGCGGCCGCCTTCCTTTACGATGCCAGCATCACCTTCCCCAAGTTATCGGTGCTCTGCTTCTACCATCGGATCTTCCAGCGGGGTGGAGGCCCCTGGGTCCGCCCGACGCTTGCAGCGGTGGGCGCCCTGTGCGTCTGCTGGCTGATCGGGTCGTGGCTGGCCACGGCTTTTCAGTGCACGCCCGTGCGGGCCTCGTGGGAGGCCGTGGCCGGTTCGAGATGCGTCACGCAGTGGAAGTTCTTCACGGGGACCGCGGCCCCGAGTGCCATCCTGGATGTGATCATTCTGCTGATCCCGCTGCCCCTGCTCTGGTCGTTGCACATGACCCGGGCGAAGAAGGCCATGCTGATCGGCCTCTTCATTTGTGGGTACTCGTGAGTCCTCCCTTTCCTCTGGAGGGCAAGCTTTCCATCTTATCTAACAACGGGGAATGTGGGCTCGCAGAGTGGTCGTCGTCTCTCTCGGGCGCCTCATCACGCTTCTCAAGGCGGGTTCGGCTCTGGAAGCCGATCTCACCTGGTCCACCATCGAATATATCTGTTGGGTGCAGTGTGAGGGCCCCATCTCGCTCATGTCGGTCTGTCTCCCGAATATCACGGATCTCGGGCGTCGCTGGTTCGGGAGGCACGGAAGAACACAGCCGCTCCGGAACAGCGCCTTCTCGTTATCATCCTCCGCCAGCAAGCCCAGTAACACGGCGGAGTTGCTGAGTGGCAAACGATCGTTTCACCCCCTCGGGGAAGTGACAGAAGAAGTCGACCGAGAGACCATCCTCCTGGACACCAGTGTTGGCCCCGAGAGAAGCCTCCCGAGGGATAGCCGGCATCATATCTATGTGAACACTACCTTCGAAGCAACCCGGGATAGTGTCTGAGGGCGGGGGTTGTTTCTGCTTTTTTTTTAGATGTCGTATCTAGATTTGAACAAATATTTAGAGTTGAACAAATCTACAAATAAATGAGCGGCGGAATGGTTTGGTAGCTGAGAAGTACCGTATAATCTTAGGGACCTACCGATGCCATATGCCTCTCATTCATTTGTTCTCGATGTCTCTTGATGGGACGAAAAGAATTGTTCTTAATAAGGTGACGGCTCTGGTAAAGTGTGTGTGTGTGAGCGTGTGTGTATCTGTCGGGGATGTGGATGAGTGATGAACTCAGCTACATGAGGCTGTCTGGAAGGAGAGCCCCGATCAACATGGGCGCAGCGGGCGGTGACCAACCTGTGCTAGCAGGTGGTCTTGCCATACTGGGGGAGGGGCTGCGCGGCGTATCACCGTCAAGCTTGCCGTAGGTACAAGCTTGGCTCCCCCTCTTCCTGTCTGCCTTCGCATGTCTTTCAGCAATCTTTTTCGGCAGTCCCTAATTGAGCATGGAAGGCCTCATCATCACGAGTCATCATTTGAGGAAAGTAGATTTGTATCTGTGTCTCAGCATCTTCCGTTGTAACGTGGTAAGCTGCTGTTGTTCTTAATGGATTCATACTATCGTGCATACTAACGACTAGTCTGGCTACGAGTTGGTGGGTGTACCTTTATCTTCCCACATATCACATCCTTCTATCGGTCGCATCCTTTGTTTTGCCGCTTAAAATCTATTCCACCACTTGCAACTGCGTCAACAAGTCCGCCTGAACGTCCTTCAAAAACTCCGTCATCTGTTCGGGGGCGTGGAATGCCTCGTTATACACCAGCCGCAGAGTCAATTGATCCCGAAACGTCCAGACAAAGACCACGCCCTGGCGCGACAGCATTTCCACCCCGACACCGGCATGAATGACACTAAACCCGCGCTCGGGGGTGCCATATTCGCGCTGCAGATATTGCTCCATGATGCCCATGCTGCTGATATCGATGTCGCTGGGGGGCTCCGCCGGCGTCGGCAGGTTGCGGATGACCTCGACCAAGGTGGAGGCATACTCGCGGTGGGCCTGGAGATAGTCGCTGCTGATCCCTTTCTGATACTCAGCCTGGTACTTGCGGGCCATCTCCTCCCAGGTGTTGGAGGCGGGTTCGACGCGGGCTAACCAGCCCGAGGTAAACAGCGCGGCGGCCACCGCCGGGGTCGAGTACGGGGGAGGCAGGTACGGGCGCAGCGACTGTTTGATGGTGCTGGTGTAGTGGCGGCCCTGGTGGCGGTGGTCGGCGATGGCGCGGCGGAAGTTGACGGCGGCGAGACTGGCATGCACCGCCGCCGTGATGCTGACCCCGCGGGCTTTGGCGGCGGCCACGGCGGCGGCGGTGCTGGCGGGCGAGAAGCGCAGCTCAGCGGCCCGCGTACCCGCGGGCACTGTCGAGCCGTCCCCCAGATACGGCACCCCCACCGCCCCGGCCGCCAGCGCAAAGGTCCCCACCGCCCCGTGCGCAATAGCCTTTTGCTCCTCCGTCGCCGTGAGGGGCAAGTTGCCGGCTTCTTCCACGGGGGGCGCGAGCCGCTCGACCTCCGATCCCCAGGGAAGAGCCTCAAATGCGGCTTCGGGCCGCAGCTTCTTCTCCTCCTGTCCACAGTGCGAAGCCATCAGGTCCACCAGTTGACCCAAAAGGAAAAGGCCGCCCACTCCGTCCATCCGCCAGTGTGCGCTGTGCAAGAGTAGTTCACCGGTTTGGGGAATGTAGTACAGTCGGGCGTCCGGGGCTGGAGCGATGCGACGGATTACATCGTCGGCGCACTGGGCGTCGGCCTCGACGGAGAAGGTCTGGGAGGCCCATTGGCTAAGCGCATCGGCCGAATCAGGCACCACGTAGACGACGTGGGCGTTGGATGCGTCGGGATGCGCGGCCAGACTCGGGTGTTGGAAGCGCAGCTGTAACCAACTGTAGCGGATGAGGGCTGGGAGAAGATCTGCAGACGTAAACTGCCCCCGAGGTTGGATGGCGACGGTGTAATTGACGGCCCAGTGCTCCCGACCCAAGGGGTGGCCAGGGTCACTGACTAACTTGATGAAAGTCTCATTGGGGCCCAGGGGCCGCGTGAAGGTGTTGGGCGAGTCCTTGGCTGCGGTCCACGGCATGATTGAAGCGATGAAGGAATGTGATTGCTGGGTGATGAGGAGCGGCGGCGGCGGCTGCTTCTGCTGTTAATGGCAACGGTAGGTAGTTGAAATAGTGCAATGGGGGGCACAACGGTGGTACTTGGAGACTAGGATCAATTGGCTCAGCATTGATATCTGGCCGTATCATGCAATGACCAACAACGATGGGAAAGCCCGCTGCCACGGCTAAACCCCTCAATCCCGGTCTTACTCGGTTCCAGCAAGTCTCCGGTCGATCCTTATTAAGTTCTTAGACACCGTAAGCACTAACGGTAAGCGCTAACGGCACGGCGTACGCACTAACAGTAAGTAAAAAGTACGTATAGTATCGTATCATGCGTGACGCCCCTTACAGTCACGCTGGAGCCTCATGAATTGATTGATATGGGATCCCCAAAAGTACAGTACGTACTTTGTAAGAGTCTTCGATATAATGCAAGTCGGCGAGTCAATTCATCGACCAATCTGCTTGAACACAACACACCCGACCATAAGCAATCGATTCACTTCGCATAGCCCCCAATATGCAAGTGGAAGGTGTCGCGCTGGTCTTTGGTGGTGGTACACGTCCTCGACATCCCCATTATCGATTCCTGTGGATCAAACTAATCGAATCATAGGAAGTGGCATCGGGCGCGCAGTCGCCCATACCCTGGTCGCGCAAGGCCTCACCACTCTCGTCTGCGCGGACATCAATCTCTCCCACGCCCAAGAAACCGCCCAGTCCAGCTACGACGTCTGCGCGGAGCGACGACCAGCCTACAAGGCGACCGCCTACCAGGTGGACGTCCGCGACGAGGCGCAAGTGCACGAGTTGGTCGCCAAGATCAAGGGTCTGTATGGCCGCATCGATATCTGCGTCACTACCGCCGGGGTACAGTACAGCCAACCCGTCATCTTGCTGTTTCCATGTTTGACATCATGATAGACGACTAGCTAACCACATCTCCAACCTCGAGGCGGAAAAGAAAAGACCCCCGCTGCCAACCAAACCACGATTAGCGATATGAGCCTCGAAGCTTATCGGAGCATGGACGAGGTGCACAATATCGGGTGCTTTTTGGTTGTCCGCGAGGTGCTCCGCGCCATGATCAGCCAGGAACCGATCAAGTTGATAACCCCGAGAAGTCGGAGAAAGCCAACTCGCGGCTCTATCGTAGTGCTAACCTCGCTGGCGTCCGAGGGGGCGTTTTTAGGCGTGGGCAATTACATTGCTGCCAAGCATGCGGTGAAAGGGTTGGTTCAGACGGCCGGTAAGCTCCCTCCATCTATCATTTCCAGGTATTTCCGCTTTGCTGACTCCAATAAACCGGACCTAGCTCTTGAAAACGCAGGCAACGGGATCCGAATCAACGCCGTGGCACCCTCGTACGTGACCGGACCGATGATGGAGCAGTTTCTGGACCAGGCGCCCGCCGTCAAGGCGGCGATGCTGGGGGATCTGCCCATGCGGCGGCTGGCGGACCCGGAGGAGGTGGCGGACGCGGTGGTGTTTCTGGCGTCGCCGGCGGCGAGCTATGTCAATGGCCATACGTTGGTGGTGGATGGCGGGTCGTCGTTGCAGTTGTCGAATCAGCCGTTTACATGATTATCGGTACTTGTGAGTGGTGCTGTGCATGTGTGAACATGCTGGTTTACATCGCTGCTGCTGATGTACATTTATTCAGATTTATCTCAGAATGATATGGCGCGCAAAAAGGCAGAGATCCCTCTCGGTCAGACACGGATCCGGATTGCTCCAACGGTAGTGTTGATAAGACACAGAAATTATGTATGAATTTAGGTAAAATCATTTTACTAGATAAAGATGCATTAACTTATTAACGAGTGGGAACCATTAAGCACATCAATCGGACACAGACATAATCATGGAAGAGAAGAAGCAAGGAATGATCGCGATTAAGGAAGGCGCGAGATGGAATACAAAAACGCATCAGCCACATAAGAAAAAAAGGCGCTTGCCAGTGAGTGATAGTGATGAGGGAGAGTGACTGTCATGGAGGTGGAACATTCAAGCGGTAGGAGTAGTCGGGGCGGCGGCAGCGGGGGTGGCAGCGGGGGTGGCCTTAGCGGGGGGACTGGCGGTGGCAGTAGTGCTGGCAGGCGCAGTCGGGGTGGCAGTAGCAGGAGTAGCATACTTGGTGGCAGGAGCAGGAGCAGGAGCAGCAGTAGCAGTGCTGCTGCCCGGGAACGTCAATCCTTCATTCACTCCAACCTCCACCGTCCGAGCAATTTCTTCTCCCTTGACAGTGTACACCACCGCCAACTTCTTCTTCTTGTCCATCTCATCCGGGAAGCATCGCACCAGGGGAAGTTTCTCCACTGAGCCATAGTGTCCCCCGATGGTCTGGTAGATCTTCTCGTCTTGCACTCGGTGGCCGCCCAGGAAGATGTCGTGAATCGCGATCTTCCCGAAGCTGTGGCCGTGGCTCAAGACTTTCTGGATATCGGCAATGTCCTTCTCGAGCCCTTTGATCGTCGCGTCTTTTTCTTTGGTCTTCTGCACGAGCTCGTCGATACGGGTTTTGTTGCCGCGGTTGATTTCTTCCCACCCGCTCGCCATTCTCTGATTGCGCGCCTTCGCTTCCTCCAATTCCTTCTCATGCTGCCTCGCCTCCTCCGCTGACTCCGCCTCGGCCTTCTGCCGCGCCACCTCGGCCTGGATCTTCGCCGCCTCCGCTTGTTCAAGTTGGATCTTGGCCATATCGATCTCGTTGTTCAGCTTCGATCTCACCGTCTCCCACCTCATTCGTTCCTTCTGGAGATGGTCAATTTTGTTTTGGGATCCCAGCTGTTCGTGGAGGTGTCCCTCCTTGAGCTGATTGTATTGTTTCTGGAACTCATCCAAGACGTTCTGAGCACGGTCCTTCTGCTTCGAGACACTGAAGAAGGCCTCGGTCAGCTCCCGAACCTTAGCCTGGGCCAATCGGGCTTGTTCCTGCCAGTCAGCTCTCTCACGCCCTTCCGCAAACCGCAGCTCAATTGCCTGGACCTTCTCGTTATAGGATTTCTTGTACTGCTCGAACAGTTCATGGTTGGTAAGGTTGAGCGCTTGACCCCATTCGATGGCCTCCTGCGTGAAATGGCAAGCTAACTCCGCGCGTTGTTCCGCCTTAGAAAGCTTCTCCTTCAGGGTCGCCTTCTCGCGCTGCTCTTGCGCGTAATCCGCCTCGAGCTTCATGAACTGCTCCCGGATGGCTCGGTGCTTGCTTTGCGCGTCCTGCTTCTCCAGCTCGGCGCGAGTCCAGGCGATTTCAGCCGCAGTGCGTTGCTCCTCCGCGTGCTCTCGAGTCGAAATAGCCTCGTCGAGCTGCTTCTTGGCCACGACCAAAGTCTCATTGGCGGCACTTGCAGCCTCCACAGCATCCCGGATTTGATCCTCCAGCGCGCGGGATCTGGTTTTGAGGCCCTCCTTATCCTCCAATGCCTCCTTCACCTCTGTCCTGGCGTGGGTGAGCTGGGCCCTGAGCTCGTGGATTGTAGCCTCCAGACCCCTGATGAATTCCGCCTTGGCCTCGTGCTTGTGTTCCAACTCCGCGACCCTCTTTCTTAAGTTCGAACAAGTGTCTTGCTCGCGCGTCAGTTGCTGACGCGTCTTGAGCTCGTCGAGCGCTGCGGCATTTCTGGCCTTGATAGCATCGGAAAGTTTCACTCGCAAGGAATCGACCTGGCTCACCAGCCGCTCCACCTCGCCCTCGAGCCGCGCAACCGCTGCATCCCGGATATTGAGGAGTCCTTCCGCTTTGTCGGACTCCAGCACCGCATCATCCCGCTCCTTGACCAACTTGATCAGCTGCTCACGGGCGAGGGTCAACGCGTGGCGCACGGTCTCAATTTCTGCCTTAAGTTGCTGGTGGAGCGCGTGCGCCGCCTTGCTGTCGGCTTTGGCGAGGGCCTCGGCCCGTTGCGCCAGACTCAGCTCGTCGGATAGCTTGGCGATGGTCACCATGAGGCCCTCCGAGTCGGCCTGGGCCTTGCGAAGATGCTTGGTCATACTGGTCCGGAGTTTAATATAACTCTCATCGGAGGTGTGCTTTGTCCGCTTGAGCTCGAGGATATCTTGCATATATTCGGCATCCTGCACATGCTCCGTCTCCACATGATGAACCTCCAGCTTGTGGAGCTGGTGGCTGTTGACGATATTGGACTTATGAAGCTGGCCTGCGATCCACTCAATGGCGGCCGCATCATTTAGGATTGCCGGGTTGTAGTCCAGGACCCTCAGCACATCTGAGCTTCCCTCCTCAGTGGGGAATAAGCAGATTGGCTTGGCGACGGCCAATTCGTGGCTGAAACCATCTGCTTTGCCGTTGTAATGGCCGTTGGCGGGCGCCTTGACGGCGCCATTGCCATTGGATTTGGTCAGGGCCGTGGTCAGGCTGTCAACGCCATTGGCTGGCTTGGTGGCCCCATTAAGCTCCTTGGTGACAGGAAGAGGAGTAATAGGGACCTCAGGTTCGTTCAAAATAGCGGGGGCCATGGCGTCAATGAGAATGAGTTCGAAAGAAAGGACTTCAAAAATATTTTTGTCGGAAAAGGAAAGGAAGGGATAAAGATCGTGGTTAAAAGATCAAAAAAGCACAAGATTTGGTGAATTGTAGAGGAAGATAGAAAAGTGTGGTGAAGAGATGGAATGCTCGCTGCTGAGTCTACTGGCATCTGGGAGGATTTGTTGGGCCCTTTATACACTTTGAAGTGGTTATGGTTTCACTGATGTGAGTGAACAGAGGCATATTCTTTTTTTTTTCAGCTGAACACGTTCATGTTGCTTTGGTCTGAGCATTGTTGCTCAGCTGTAATCTTCCAGCTGGTGGAAGCTGAGGAACGGAGTGGATGCAGGAACTTGGAGTGGCGGGATTAGGGCTCGTCGGCTGGATTTACCCCATGGTTTCTTGTATGCGGGCCGGGCCTCCTTGTCCGTGCAAAACCCCGCCTCCACCCTCGGAATTCTTCAGTTCCTCACCTGTTGTCCCTCGCTTGTTCTTGCCGCGTTATTAATGCTTCGCCCACTACCCTCTTCAGCTTCCACACGATTCCGCCTCCTCTTCGGAGGGGCCGCAAAAGTCGACTCAAGCCGAGCGGCAACAGGCGTCCGTCCAATCGGTGTCATGTTCAAACGGCCCATGTGGCAGCCATGGGCTTCTGCGCGCGCCAGTCCCTTCAGCTGGCTCCGCGTCAGCCAGACTTCCCGTGCGAATGGATCTCCGATGTGAAAGACTGACACTCACATCTACCTCATCCTACTAGTCCCCATCACATCGAGATGGGTATATTATTCGGGATCCCCTTCCCTAAACCTGAGTCCTCGGGATTAAGTTTTCCTATCACGCGGATGGCGTCGCATGAGATGTTTTACAAAGCCTTGATCTTGCAGCGTGATTTGTCTGATAGTTGTGGCGGTCTCGCTCGAAACGTCATCAAGCGGGAGCTGAAAAGAAGACAGGCAATTTTAAGCGCGGTGGCCCTCACCAGCTCCTGCATCTGGCCGAGAAACTACATATCCTGTAGCCAGTGTGTTGTGCAGCGGACTCGCTGTTTGTGTTCGAGATGTGTGTGCGGTGCATGGGATCATGAAGGGCTGATGGGTATAACAAAATGGCCGTTGCAATTTAGAAGCCCTAGCAGTAAGAGCAAGCCCGTCCGCTTGCAAATCTATTACATCTTCAGTGATAGTCTGGTCCTCCGGCCTCCGTCCGAGAAACAATCATTCTCTAATGTTACCATGTGGTGGATCCACATGGTACTTGGGCCTTCCGTGCGTCTGGTGAATCTAAGAAAAGCGATACTAACAACTCTAGCGCGCCCGCGTCCAGGTCCCGATTGCTCTGTTGCTCAGATGCATGACAAATTTTTGATGAGACTCGACTAGCCCGTCGCCTAATAGAATTGGAGTTCCTGCTAAGTGTGCCCCTGTGAGAACAAGTCGCGCTAGACGGACACGAACTGTCCGAAATGTCTAAGCATGGTGGAAGGACCTCAATGGCTTGCTTCTCTTACGATATTGTTATGTGATTCGTCACATTCAGCAAACAAAAAAGCCACAATCACTGTGATCACTTTTTGGGTCTCCGAGCTTTGCCAAGTCGCGCGGCTAACGTGTTCCTTGCGCCTTGGGGTGATAAGGGTGGTAATTGAGGGTCTCTCATTCTACTTGTCTAGGTGACTGACTTCGCATCTAGTCATGGTCGTAGTCTCATCACTCAAGTATCGGTGGGAAAGGTTTTCAGGGGCTGTGTGGTAGTCTTGTCTAGGGGCATACTACCAGCTAACCCTTTGGAATTGTTTCGAGTTTTTGTCTCTCCTTCTCCCTGACCCTCTTCCTCTTTGTCTTCCTATTATCTATCCACTTCTACTGCTTCTTCTTCTTCTTCTTCTTCTTCTTCTTCTTCTTCTTCTTCTTCTTCTTCTCCTCCTCCTCGTGATGCCGACCATTGAAAAGAATTGAGGAGAGAAAATGCTGTGTCGATGGTCTCTCCGCGCACTAAAATCAACTCCTCAGACGACTGGCCCCCTGGTCCTCAGATCCAGGCACAAAAGTCGAGAGTGAGTGACTGAACCGTGATAGAACTGGTGCAATAGCCCGGGTCT